TTGCACCATTTTACACTCCCACCAACAGTGAATAAGGCTTCCAGTCTCTCCACAACCTCGCCAGCATTTGTTGCTTGCTGTTCTGTTAAATTTTGCTTTTCTGACTGGGGTGAGATGATATCTCACAGTTGTTTTGAGGCCTAGATTCTTAAATCAAAGTGTTAATAGGGTCACCCTCCCCTCAAAGGCTCTTCATGAGAGAGACTGCTTCCTTACCTCTTCCAACGTTTGGTAGCTGTGGACTTGGTTTAGCTTGTGGCTGCATAACTTTAGTCACAGCCTTATCACTTCCCCTGTTATGTGTCTATGTCCCATTCTCTTCCTTTACAAGGATTTACAATTAACTTTAGGGCCCATTTCAACAATGGGTGGCTTAATCTCAAGATCTTTAATCAATTTGCAATCAGAAAGACATTTTTTCTAACTAAAGTCATATTCAGAAATTCCACGGGATATGGAATATGGACATACCTTTTGGGCTACCATTCAACTTACAAATGTTGTATTAGCTTAACTCAAGCTAATTCCTTTTTAGGGGCCATTATTTAATTTACTCATGTTCTATTAGATAAACTCAAACTAATTCTCATTAAGTCAAAGCCAGCTCATAGTTGACACTTCATGGGTTTCTTCCAAGCATGAAATCCTTCTCCAAGGACCAGTCCCTCCAGGCCACGTGCCCAAGGTAATGTGAGAGAGAGCTTCAAAATCCTAGCCTCCAAGGAGAAACTTGGTTTCACCCTCTCCAAGACAGACCTATTTATTTTCTTGGAAGCCTATAGTATGTCAAAGACTCTTTTTCAGCACAACTCAAAGGTATTGATTCTTCATCTGTCCTTCAATCATTATCTAGCTCTCTGATGCATGGCAAGTACGTACATAAAAGTAAAAATTATAAGAAGAGCGAACTGGGGTGGGGGTGGGGTGGGCGTGGAGAAAAGTGCAACAATGAGTGAATGGAAATCCAAAATCTCTATAAATGTTCATACAAATTAATAAAAAATATGATAATAAAAAACAAAAAAAGAGTATAAATTATAACATGCTGAAATGTTATACTCTGAAACCTACTCTAAAGCATGTTATGTTGTTACGTACCTTTGAGTCAGATCTGACTCATAGCTGATCCTTAAGTGAATTTTCAGAAAAAGAAAAATCACACAGGAGGAGACTCCCCTTCTTTCTCTCACAGAGCAGCTGGTGGATTCAAACCATATGCCTTTGGGTTGGCAGCACAACTTCTTACTATTAAGCCACCATGTATATTGATGATGCAAATGCATTTGACTGTGTGGACCATGACAAATTACTGATACCACTGAGCCGTAGTAGCCATAGCATTATGGCTAACACTTAATTGTGCTCATGTGATACCTAGACCTAGACAAAGAAGCTGTTGTGTGAACAGAGCAAGCTAATACTACCTGGTTTAAAATTAAGACAGGTGTGTATCAGGTTTGTACCCTTTCTCCATACCTGTTCAATCCATATGCTGAGCAAATTATTCAAGATGCTAGACTCTATGAAGAATGTGGCATCAGGATTCAAAGAAGACTCATCAGTAACCTTCAGTATGCAGATGACACCGCATTGCTTGCTGAAACTGAGGAAGACTTGAAGTACTTGCTGCAGAAGACCAAATGCTACAGCTTTCAATATGGATTGCATCTTAACATAAAGAAAACAAAAATTCTCACCACTGGATCAATAGGTAACATTATGATAGGTGGAGGAGAGATTGAAACTGTCAACAACTTCATTTTACTTGGATCCACAATCAGTACACTTAGTACCAGCAGCTGGGAGATCAGGAGATGTATTTCATTGAGCAACTCTACAGTCAGGGACCTCTTCAAATTACTGAGGAGCAATGATGTTAGTTTGAGGACTAAGGTTCATCTGATTCAGACCATGGTATTTTCAATCATTTGCTATGCTGCTGAGAGCTGAACGATGAATAAGGATGACAGAAGAACAGTTAATTTCTTTGAACTGTGGTGCTGGAAGAGAGTATTCAATAATCCATGAATTGCTGAAATAACAAACAGATAGGTCTTAAAGAAGCTAGATTGCTCCTGGGAGCCAAAATTCATCTGTCATACTTTGGCCATTTACTAGGTAGGAGAAGCCAGTCCTTTGAAAGGGACATCACACTTGGGATAAGTAGGGGGATGGTGAAAGAGAAGAAGGTCCTCAACAAGATGGATTGAAGTAGTAACTATAGCAATGGGCTCAAGTGTGTCAGAGATTGTGAAGATGGCATAGGATAGGACAGAGTTCAGTTATATTGTTCATAAGGTTATTGTGGGTTTTACTCAACTCAGTGGTACCTAACAACAACAACA